TTTCCAAAAGGCGTTATTATGCCTTTCCAAAACGCGTTATTACGCCTTTCCAAAAGGCATTATAACGCCCTTTTAAAAGGCGTTATTATGCCTTTCCAAAAGGCGTTATTACGCCTTTCCATTCTAAAAGGCATTATTACGCCTTTCCAAAAGGCGTTATTATGCCTTTCCAAAAGGCGTTATTACGCCTTTCTAAAAGGCATTATAACGCCTTTTTAAAAGGCGTTATTACGCCTTTCCAAAAGGCATTATTACGCCTTTCCAAAAGGCGTTATTACGCCTTTTACTTTCAATACATAACTAAACATATTTAGCCCAACCGAGGGTGTGTGTGTGTGTGTGCAGAAATCGTACCTTTGGGACATGAATTTCACAATTAGATATAGGACTAATTTCGCAAAAAATAATTTAAACAGATAGCAAATAGATAAGAAGAGAGAAAAATTTCTTCAAATGACATAAATTTTAATACATGGCAAGCAAAGCTCCAAGATAAATCTGCCTATATTCTAGATCTTCACAGGTAGAGTGTTGCCTTCTCTTAATACGAATGCAAACAGTTGTCAGTGAAATGTGCAGGAATATAGAGAATTGCATAAATAAAGATGGTTTTAATTAAATCTTTATATATTTATTAAAATAAGATAACGCCTTTTCCTTTTCATGTAGGCCAGTATTGCGATTGCGAATGGGGTAATCCCCCCTCCAAACATACACACTTTTGAGGAAAAGTCTTGCTACAGTTTAAATATTATAATTAACTATTGGTTTCTTGGTTCCTGAACATTTTGTTGCAGTATGTAAAACTGTGGCAAATTATTGCATTTAGATAAAGTTTTACCGAGTATTTCCCCCACGAATTTGGCCAGTGGTGTGTGTGTGGGGGAGGGGGGGGGACTATTAAAAGCACGGGCCTGTTAAATGCAAAATAATGGTTATTCAAAAAGCATAAAACTTTTTTGGAAAGGCATAATAACGCCTTTTAGAAAGGCGTAATAACGCTTTTTAGAAAGGCGTAATAACACCTTTTAGAAAGGCGTAATAACGCCTTTTAAGAAGGCGTAATAACCCTTTTAGAAAGGCGTAATAACGCCTTTTGGAAAGGCGTAATAACGCATTTCAAAAGGCGTAATAACGCCTTTTAGGAAGGCGTAATAACGCCTTTTAGAAAGGCGTAATAACGCCTTTTGGAAATGCGTAATAGCGCCTTTTGGAAAGGCGTAATAACGCCTTTAAGAGAGGCGTAATAACGCCTTTTGGAAAGGCGTAATAACGCCTTCTAGAATGGAAAGGCGTAATAACGCCTTTTAGAAAGGCGTTATAACGCCTTTTAAAAAGGCGCTATAACGCCTTTTGGAATGGAAAGGCGTAATAACGCCTTTATTCGCGTTATTACGCCTTTTCAAAAGGCAACGCCTTTTAATTTTTTTTCTCTCTAGAGTGATCCTCATAGGCTTTCGTAGGCATGTGCATTACATGTAACAAGATGTCCCAGCATGCTATGATTTTGACCCCTTGACCTTCATCTAATTTTCAAAAATTTAACTTTGGTGATTACTTATGAATGACAATTGATTCATTTTTTTTTTTTTGAACAGAACAGAACATTTTATTTCTAATTTAGAGCCCATAACAGACAAGTATGAGGTTGTTACATGTACAATAATAAGGAAAAGATAAGACATGCATCAAAAAAGGTCACTTGAGCTTTGAACTTAGGTAACCAAAAATGTATTCTTGTATATGCATATTTTATTCCTTGTATGACAGATGCTGCAATAGGATGCAAATTATTATTTCTGAAATCAAAACAACTAGACATTTTTCTTATGCTATTTATATATTTTTATACCCAGTCATTTCAGACGTAAAATTGTGCTTTAGATTCTTAAAATTTGGTTTTAAAGTTATTTTAAATAAATGTAAACATTGTGATTTTTATAGGTTCTTGTACCGTGGTGAATTTTAAAAAAAAATCTTGGCTCTCCTTTTTCCAGGAGGGTTAGATAGTCGAAATTAAAATGTCCATGATCACCTAGCTTTCTACTGCCTAAGACATGAAATGTTTGGAGTCTTTGACATTGCTCTTAAGTGAAATGTTTGAAAATTTCTCTGTCTGAACTATGGTCCTCTATTAAATCTGAAATTGAAATGTCTGAAGTCCTCAAAGGTTAAACGCCTACTTCAATTCCATTCAATTTAAAGATCCTTTTAAATATTGAGTCGATGTTTTATGAACATTTTTATGGAATTCATTTTTTTAATGAAGGGGAAATTAAATCCCTTTTTGAAATTTGGGTTGAGTTTGGGTTTACATCTTAAACATAATCAAGTCATATCGGTCTCTATTAACGTAAGCCTTGCAAAGATTTAGCTGGGTGAGGAGACACAATTTTTCTTCAGCACCGCTGTCAGTCCTGAGAGACGTTATGGTCTCGGCTCTGTTGCCCAATATATCCCCAGCCTCTTAGGTTAATCGATATGTCGAGATGGAGTTCTGCTAAACTCCGTACTTATCTGAACTTTATTTTACTTGTAGAATGGACAGAATTTCAAGAAATTGTTAAAAGAATTTAATTATGAAAATATTTTTGTGACAAAAATACATGTAAATAACACATGTCAAATTGCATAACTTCTCCATATAAAATGAACATTTTTATTAAACATAACAATTAAATTGTATTTAAATCACTCAGACTGGTTCATCTGGCCATGATACAGGGTAAATGCTTATTTTCTTTCTAAGTATCAACTCTCCGTATTGCAAAAAGACCAACCTTTGAACACCATAACGTACAAACAGACAGACAATATATAACTAACATTACACATTCATAAGCTTACAACATAATAACTTAAAAGTTTTGCGCACATACACTCACACACAAATTTATAGCATATGTAACTTATTTTAGTATTTCAATGAACACAAAAGTACAATATTATTAACCTTCACTTAAACAAAAACTAACAACAAATCCAACTTACAAAAATATTGCAAAAACATACAAACTTACAAAATATGGTATGTACAAGTTAATAATTTACAGTCAATCTAACAATATTATTGACTTGGTGTGCACTCACAGACAAACATACAATATGAAATACTTGTTAAACATACACACTTTTTTTGGTAAAGCTTATTGTCTCTCTTCCCTATACAGGTGAACATGTGAGTTTGGTCGTTGTCTATCTAATATCAGCATCAAGCAACATAATTATAATTAACTGACGCCTGACAGTAATACTACGTTATTTCTCTACCCGAGATCAATTAAAAAATATGGCCAAGCTTATGATTTCTCCACATTTAGATGAGATGCCTATATATATTTTTGGAGATCAAAACAAGAGAAAATGAATCTACACCCATCTCAGTTTACGGCTCCGTAATTGTTTTATCAAGATATTTGAATTACAACTCCAACAAGCTTCTTCAGAGAATATGTGTCCCCTGCTTATGGAAATAGAAGAGCATGCACTGAGTCGGGGTCGGGGGGGGGGGGGGGCACGACGAGGAACGGGCAAGGTCATAAGTTGTGAAAAAAAAAATTATAATAATAATTGCAAAAGCTCAAACGATTCTTGAGATATCACTCGTAAATGAAAGTTTTACGCACACACAGAATGTATGAATTTATGACCTTGACTTTTGACCTCAAAATCAACAGATGTCTTTCTTAGGCCATGAGGAGTTGTGATATTAAATTTCATTGCAAAAGCTCAAAGGCTTATAGAGATATCGTTCGGAAACGAAAGTGTTTAAAAATTATGACGTTGACCTTTGACCTCAAACTCTGTAGGGTTTTTTTTTAGGCTATGGGGAATTGTTATGTAAAATTTCACTGCAAACGCTCAAAGGCTTTTTGAGATATCTTGCGGAAACGAAACTGTTACAGAGAGACAGACGGGCGGACAGATCAACTTTCAGTGAAAGCGGGGGACAACATACATTTTCCAGTGACCTTTGACCCTGAGTCAAGAGAATGACACAACTTCAGGTCAAGGACAGCAGCAATCAAATCCCAATAATGATTCAAGAATTAAGGTCTGCAAATGAATTTGTGACCGGTGACAAACATTTATTCCAATATATTATTTTTCCTGTTTGGGTGGTTTTAAAAAGATCAAGGGGTTAATTAAACTATATATATTATTTTTCCTTTATTTCTTAAGAAACCCCATTGCGTTCATCACTGCATTACAGTAGGCAGGTCGCCTGTACAGATTTCTTAATCAGTGGCTGTTCCATCAATGAAACGTATAAAGACGTTCGCATCATTAATACAATAATTAATCTTTTTAATCCTACTTTAATTTATTATTTAAACAGATATAAATATAAACAATAAAATGCTTTCTTTGTTTGTTGTTACTGGAATGAACGGTGTAAAAAAAATCTACATAACCCGCTTACGCGGGTTATGTATTTTTTCTGCAACAGCTGCTTCCGTTCATTCCAGTAACAACAAACAAAGAAAGCATTTTACTGTTTAAGTGTAAAATATCATTGCTGAATTATGTTAGTGCGTGAACTGCTCAATAAGAGCGTATACAATGCAATATTGACTATGATATTCTACATAAAAAATCAACACCACAGATAAATTGATTGCGTATCATAACATGTTCCATCTACTTCAATTTTTGAAAATAAATTTTAAAAAAAGGAAAAGAAAGATGCTTTAATGGTGCATTAATGATGTAGCAGAGTTAAAGAGTTAAGTCCCTTTACTGCTTTTCTTATTCCTGTTGCTAGAGGAATCAATTTGCCAGAATCTCACCGGAAATCAAATACTGTAGATCACTTAATTTTCGCGACACCTTATTTTCGCGAGATAGTCATTGACTCTTTATTAGCGAGACAAAATTTTCACGAATTGTGGTCATTGCTCTATTTAATCTTAAGGAATTCTGTTATACGCTTTTTTCGCGAATATCTTAATTACGCGAAAATAAAGTTCTCGCGAATGAAAAGTGATTTACAGTACGTGTAATGCTTTAAATTTGTAAATGCGAAAATCCATATGAATATTAAACCCAATCCCCTAGAACTTTTGGTATGAGAATATATTCTCCAAATCTACTTAAATATCACAGAGCAAAGGAACGAAGGTGTACAGTTCGGCAATCGAGATTCGGAGATTGTGAGCTCTTGTAATTCAACGTATTTGTAAGTTACGTGCAATAGAAATTTCCGTATGTAAAGCATGCTCTTGCGTATCAAAATGACGAAAGTAACGAACTGAAATACGTTTAAAATTTTGAAATTTCTCGGTTTGACAAGATTCAAACATCTAATTCTTGATTTGCATGCTGTACGCAGAACTATACATGTTTACCCTTCGGCAAACAGCGCTATCTAAATCTGTTCACATCCCTTCCTTCGTGTAACTCTAACATCCTAAAAGCAAAATAAAATCCCAAAGACATTGAGCTCTTCCGTGTCTAACAGCTTCAGAGGATTGTAAAAACAAGTGCAGGTATTTTATTGTGTTCAAAATTTGTTACTATCTGAAATATTTTAACTTGATGAGTAAACTGAGTACCGTTTTTCAACATTTTTCAGAACGTTAAGAGAAAGGAAACAAATAAGTGACAAAGCCCACAGAAAAACTCAAAACAACTTTCCGGAAAATCTTATTACACATACAAAATGATATCACAGACCCAATTAACTTGTGCAATATATAAACTATTTGTTAAAAATTTACTGACTCTATGCTTCTTAGGGAGAATAAAAAATCTATTGCAGATGTGCAAAGGGGTGCATTTCTTTTTTTTTTTCTATAAGGAAGTGACCATACAAATTCATAACAAACAATTGCTAAATTTAAAAAAGAAAGCTTCGATAATTTGGGTAAAATAAGAGGTAATCAGCATCCATTTAAAATTCCTCAGGTAATCAAAATTGATTATTTGAAAAAAAAATTTCGAAAATGCAACTTGAGCTTTTCTGAGTATATACGCCTACGTTAAAATGGCATCAATCCTTTCAATATATCAATTATAGTTGCTATCCAGTAATAATCTACAAGCCGACACTGGGCTGACGGATTATTTAATTCATGCCACATCCGGACCATTTCCTCTGGGTAGTAATGATGGCCGACTATGAATTCCTGGAAGGATATCCCACAGGGCCCCCTATCTCGATAACTACAGGAAAACTCTTTATGTCCAACAACTTTCGCTCCAATTTTTTCCCTGCAAAGTCCTGCTACGAAAATATCCTCAATGAAAAAATACGGAACATCAAATGAAGCACGGTAAAGTTTGGATATGATATCCCCCGTAATGAGATAGGCGGGCCCTGTTATATATACAGGGTAGGTGTCAGCACTGTACTGCTCTCTAGTCACGTGCCATTTGAATAAAAAGAATCTCACAGGGGCATTTTTGCTCTCTTCACATCCAATAACAGAATTTTTTGGATTCCATTTTTCAAGTTCTGACATAAGCCTATGTATATTAAAAAATATATCATCGTCAACCTTTATAAGGTATTTCGTTTTGCTACAGTGGGTATGTGCCCATTTTAAAATTGCTATAGATTTATAAGTCAATTTATCATAAGCCTCCGTTACGTTTGTGTCTAAGATGTCGTTGAAGACGGCTTTCTCAAGATTGATACTTTCCCGAACAACCGGATCTTGAGTTTTTCCTATCACGAATATCAATCGAACACTCTTGTCCACTTTTGACACAGAACCCCACGATTCTCGTATTGCATTACGGTGTTTGAAATTAGAGACTTCGCTGTTGACCATAACCAACATAAAAACAGACTCCCCGTCATTCTCGCAGGGCTCCAGCGGCGATAGTGTTTCTTTAAACTTTTCTTTGAGTAATGCCTTTTTTATGTCGTTGTTTGACCACGTGAACACAATTTGTTTGGGATTTGAATTGATGGATTTTTGCATGAAGAAGAGTGACGTCACAACAAACAAGCCCGTCAGTTTCCATAATGTCGAAATCTTCACTTCCCGGACATGGCAATATCTGGTTTTCAGCCTCCTTACAAAGGAATTAATGGATGGAAACATCTGCAATCAATACAGAAATAAATTAAACAATATAATCATAGCGTGATAGTAGCTAATAGTAACAGATGTGACTTCAACATACATTTTCCAAGAGTTTTACTTCCCTAGCAGTATAACGACAAACATGATTTATTAAATGTAAAACACCGCCTTATCAATTGTTCTGACTTCACCAAATCAAGATTATCGGTAAGATGTTTGAGTTTCTACTTTTTCAAAAAATAATCTTACAAAGGAGAATTTTGAGTCAAATCAAAAATTATATATACCGGACAAAGGTAATTTGACAAGGAAATTCAACAGGAAAATGTTCAACATTGTGCATATTATGTCGTATACGAAACAAAATGAGAAACAGAGAGACTATTGTTATCATGCCAATTTATTTGCTAACTTGAAATCTTGTATCAAAAGTGTGATTTGCCCAAGTTTTAAACTTTTTATTTGGTTATGGAGGATAGTTCTGTATTCAAACATGTATACATGTGTTTGTTTAAGACGGAAGTGGTAAATGTAACAGAACATTCCTAGGAAGTTTTAGAATACCGGAGTATATACTTCTTAATTTTAAAATTATCTATAAAAAAATGAATTACACGTGTACCATATTTTGGTATTTCTGAATTGTTTGTTGTTTTCGAAACCTAAAAAAAGGGGGTACTGATTACAGACAGTGATAAGGTACTATACTTCCGGTTTATCTCCCTTTACTCTCTGTTATTTATAATTAATGTATTTTAACGTAACAACAGAATATCACGATGTATTGATTTGTTAATTAAGACACATGGTGTTTTTATGCTGCAAGATATACCAGCTTTATCATCAGGCTCATCAACTATTGACAGAAATTTAGACTCCACTTTTCAATATGTATAGTCTATGTTGCATTTTAGAAATCGAAGAGAGGGAGAGAACATTATGCTGTATATTGAATCTCTATACTTACATTTTGAATAAAAAGATACATGGGGTATATAGTTATTGTGTTGTTACACCTGCTACACTTTAAATACACAATGTAAGGGAAGGTTCCACATGCTTTTCCCTGTTGTGACAACGCATAATCCTCGAAACCAGAGCACAACCCCCAACGTGCTAGGTGCCTTTTGATCAACGTTCATATTGCTGTATCCTCAACAAAAACATTTACCATGTCACCAAGGTTAAAATTTACATTTACAATTAAAGCATTGAAACGGTTCTATTCCTATAATACGAAAATTTGCAGAATTAGTTAACTAACTACAATTTGAGTATATTTCCTCAAAATCAAACAAGCATCATTCAATTTAAAACTTGCACTTCTATATGCATTGACATTTTGTATTCTGTATGAATTGATTTCAAATGGACTACTATTATATTAGAACTCATTTATTCAGCAGTAATGATACTACAGAAATTAAAAAAAATCACATGTTCTCATTAAATTAATAAATAATAAGGCCGTAGTTTGAGACAGGAAACAAAAGCCCCCCTACAGGTAAATCGAGTTCCTTTACCTGTCGACTAGACAACGCTGATAAAGCAAATAACAAAGAATTTGTACGTACTTACTTATTTCAGTGAAAATAAAAGATTGAAGCCCAAAAATGGAAACAGACTTACTCCGATGTGGATGATTATAACACTACAGACAGTCGGTTCATGTTAGAAACTCGATCAATAATCGCCCTATCTCCTTCCTACGTTTTCAAAAAGTCAAGGGCATAATAGCAACATAACTATAATTAACGCAAAATTAATTAATCCGTTCCTAGTGAAAGTCTGTTACGTACAAAAATGAAGGGAAAAGGAAACAGGGAGGTCACATGCAAATCTCACAGGAGATGCCTTTCTGTTCCTGGTATATTTTAAATTTATAAAGTTAATATAGATAACACAAACAATTTTTGTAGACATTCAAAAACTGCAATTTATGGAGGCTTGGTGAAAAGTTTGCACATTCTTTATGTGGAAGATTTGGTTTCTTTATTAAACCTTGCTCTTTTTTATCTTTAAACATCTACTCTTTCCCATTGATCATTTTTTTAAACATACTATAGTAATTGAATCTGTGCTCTGCATTGGATCGCTTAAATGGACAGGGTAGAGATTCCTGGTCTGGACAAAGAAAAAAAATAAAAAATCAACTTTGAAGTTTTCAATAATCCAGAAAATATAGGTCGAATGAAGAATCCGAAACATCTTTATATATTTACATTTGCAAATGTTTTCCTTTATATAACACTACTAAAGGCAAGCGTTTTTATAACTGTGTAAATACAGGTATGGGGTCAAGAGGTCATAGATGTGCGTTTGGATAAACGTTCGACGTAATTCCTCTGTGACGTCATAAAGGGTCGACACGCGTTTAGTGGATTACATACATGCCGTTGGGTTTGAAAAAATTAAGGCATTTCACACGTTAACATTAATAATCAGGCAAATATAAAGTATGAATAAGTCACAAATGTAAATATAAGAAATAAGGTATCATTTTTTGAGTTTTATTGAGATGTAAAACGGGTTGGCACATGATCAAATCTTCCATAAAGCCCTTCGGGCTTTATGGGATTTGATCACGTGACCAACCCGTTTTACATCTCAATAAAACTCAAAAAATGATACCTTATTTCTTAAATGCATGCCCAATACAATGTTGGACCAGTTAGGGAATACAGGGTTTTTGATAAAAGGTCAACTCCAAAAATTATTATTGTGGGCCAGATGCTATAAACAAAACTTGTCCGAAGTGTATAACGGTATTTGACGAATCATCAATTCAACTTTGTTCCATTGGGGTTAATTATAACATAGCTACTTCGCAATGGCCTTGCTCCAAAAAGCTGGGATTCACGGGAAGGAGGGGGGGGGGGGGTTAGCTCATCTTGACTTTCTCGTAATATGGGATATTAAAACAGTCATTCGTATATTTCGCTTATTTTCTTTTTTAGATTAAAAGGAGGCGTATGGGATTGAAAAGCTCTTTTATATCGAAAATGACTAAATTGAACTGTTAATACACAAAGAGTGAATTTTTGAATATGTACCTACTTTTTTTCTGGCTAGAAATGCTTCATGAAGAAATTATTACTGTATATATAACAGCCCACGGTGATGCTGGTATACTTCGGCCTACCAGGGATTCACATTTTCCGAGGGTCACAATGTCTTCATTGTTAATCCTGCTCTAGAAATTAAGAATATTAATCCTTGACATGAAAAATGTCTGCATGACTTCATTCGCAACAAGAATTAAGGAAGTTCATCTACATGTAGCTGGTGTAGACCAAGGTTAATTCTTATAAATACCAACAAATGTAAGTGTGTATACATTTCGGTCAAGAGCATCCAATTTTGAATTCATTATCGGACTGAATAAGTTAGAACCAGTTGAGACTTACTATTTATGTATAAGTATTTCCGGATAACGTTTACGCATTTACGCACACTTGTAATTTCATAAATAACGCAGAAAAAAAAAAAACTTGTTAAAGCAGGGGGACAGTATATATCTTCCATTCATAGTAATAAAGATATCATATATGCTTATGTAAAACTATTTTAATGTTGTGTAATAAATGTTTTTGATTATGTATCCAGTGCCTGGAGTTTTATGAAAATCCAACCAATATTAGTACCCTACTTTCAGTAAAAAATGTTTCTGCTTACATGTACGTTTCGACATCTATAGATACTCGACGTTTTAAAACATTTTTTTTAGATAATAAAAAAAAATAAATAGATGTATGCAATCAAATTATTATTATTTTTTTAATTAGTTAGGTATATTCTTATTACAAGAAAAATGTTTAAAATTATGGAGAAAACAAACAGTATAGTCCATCGTCACGATACAAAATGGGGAGCAGTGCAAACATGGAGCCCTGAAAACATCTAAAGGACAATAAACGGTCAAAAGTTTAATTATATAAAATAACTAGACCTCAACTATGATTTTTTTGTTAGTGCATATAAAGGGAGATTTTTCTTTTCAACTTGTCTGTACTTGAAAAATATTTCAACATTTTTTTTTAATTAGTGCCAATGGGGAGCCAGTCAAAGCGCCCCATAATAAAAACGTCCCAGTCAAAGCGTCCCCTAATTTTAGTCAATTTTGACCAAAATCAGGGGATGCTTTGGCCAAAATTAGGGGACGTTTTGACCGGGACGGTTTTATTCGGGGGCGCTTTGACGGGTCCAGTCAAAGCGCCCCCGAATAAAACCGTCCCGGTCAAAACGTCCCCTAATTTTGGTCAAAGCATCCCCTTACGGTCGTCATACGCTTTAAGGGAAAAAAAGAAAAAATAGATTATAAATCAATCTTCAAACTACATGTGCAAAAGTTAAGGGGGAAGCAAAGTTTCGAAATAACAAACAAATTGTATTAGGGTTTCTAAGGGTCGTAGGGGGTCTATAATACGTCCAATTCCCAATGGAAACACGTATGCGTTTTTTTTCCCCAATTTCATAAAAGAAAATCCCCCCCCCCCCCCGACTTCAGGAATGGTGTTTAAATGAAAGAAAAAGTGAGCTAGCTCACATACCCCACGCTCCCCCATAACTTGACGGTGAAACACATTTAATGAAAGGCACAGTGCACTTTAAATACATGTACATAGTATAGATCAAAAAGAGCAATAATTGCAAAAAATCTTCACATCAAAATGTCTTGCATATGAGGACATTTAAATGTGGAATGAAGTTTCTAGATAAATTATGGAATCAAAATTTCTTGAAAATATACAAATCCACACATTAATTTGAAGTGGGGGGAGAGGGGTGAGAAATTTTCTTGAATAATATGCAAAACTCTTTGGGATAAAATAATGGAATATGTCTTAAATATCAGCATAGGTTGACGAAACTATGTACAACAGTTTAAGAGGAGTGGTGCTAACAAACTGTTCATCTCTATATTCAAAATATGGCAAAAAAGTCTAAGTTGAAAAGTGTGGAAATTCCCGGAAAAAAAAAGGAATCGGAATTTCCTGGTAATATGCACATCTACACATTGTGTCCTAAATATCTGCAAAGTTTAACGAAATTCTGTGCAGCCGTTTATGAGGAGTTGCGCTGACAAACTGTTCATCTCTATATTCAAGGTATGGCCAAATGCCTAAGTTAAAGGTGCGGAAATTCCCAGAAAAATAAAAGAATCGGAATTTCCTGGTAATATGCACATCTACACATTGTGTCCTAAATATCTGCAAAGTTTGACGAAATTCTGTGCAGCGGTTTATGAGGAGTTGCGCTGACAAATTGTTCATCTCTATATTCAAGGTATGGCCAAATGCCTAAGTTAAAAGTGCGGAAATTCCCGGAAAAAATAATGGAATCGGAATTTCCTGGTAATATGCACATCTACACATTGTGTCCTAAATACCTGCAAAGTTTGACGAAATTCTGTGCAGCGGTTTATGAGGAGTTGTGCTGACAAACTGTTCATCTCTGTATTCAAGGTATGGTCAAATGCCTAAGTTAAAAGTGCGGAAATTCCCGAAAAAATAAAGGAATCGGAATTTCCTGGTAATATGCACATCTACACATTGTGTCCTAAATATCTGCAAAGTTTGACGAAATTCTGTGCAGCGGTGTATTAGGAGTTGTGCTGACAAACTGTTCATCTCTATATTCAAGGTATGGCCAAATGCCTAAGTTAAAAGTGCGGAAATTCCCGGAAAAATAAAGGAATCGGAATTTCCTAGTAATATGCACATCTACACATTGTGTCCTAAATATCTGCAAAGTTTGACGAAATTCTGTGTAGCGGTTTATGAGGAGTTGCGCTGACAAACTGTTCATCTCTATATTCAAGGTATGGCCAAATGCCTAAGTTAAAAGTGTGGAAATTCCCGGAAAAAATAATGGAATCGGAATTTCCTGGTAATATGCATATCTTCACATTGTGTTCTTAATACCTGCAAAGTTTGACGAAATTCTGTGCAGCGGTTTATGAGGAGTTGTGCTGACAAACTGTTCATCTCTATATTCAAGGTATGGCCAAATGCCTAAGTTAAAAAGTGCGGAAATTCCCGGAAAAAATAAAGGAATCGGAATTTCCTGGTAATATGCACATCTACACATTGTGTCCTAAATACCTGCAAAGTTTGACGAAATTCTGTGCAGCGGTTTATGAGGAGTTGCGCTGACAAAAAAAGAGGACTGACTGACGGACTGACTGACGGACTGACTGACTGACTGACGGACCAGTCAAAAACATTATACCTCCCGCAACTAGTTGCGTGGGGTATAAAAAAATCTAAATGGTACGCTCCAAAAACAGATTGACCAAATGTAAAATAATTCAAGAGATACTTTGCAAATGAAAAAAAAAATATTTACAAAAATATTAAACACATGATATTTTCCCCGATTTCAACCAAATGTCGCTGTGACCCAGGCCCTTGATTTTAAAACAAAAAAAAATCCGTTTTATGATTTTTTTTCTTAAAATCTCTACTATGACTTGGAATATCAGTTCAGGGGTTTAAAAATACGGTGGTCCGAGGTCCGGGACCTAAAGATTATTGGGGCGGACTAGCCAATTGTTACCCTTTGATAGTCCGTCGGACTAGTAGTCTTGAGAAGAAGAAAAATTATTTTAATTCCGTAATTTTTCGGGCCGAAATTCGGCCCCAGTTCCAATGGGAAATATGCCTGTATTTTCCCATATTGTAGTGGAAGTCATCCCAAAGAAAAACTTACGAAATGTGTGATCAAATTCAGTTTGTTTATTGCATTTTTTCAAGTAGAGTTCAAGCAGGTTTTGTGGTTGTTCAGCCATATTGGATTTTTCTTCATTAGTTAATTGCAATCAAATTATTATTATTTTTTTAATTAGTTAGGTATATTCTTATTACAAGATACCACTATTGTTCTTTATGCAAGTAATTAGATAATTATACCAAGAATAGTCTTGATATGTGATAACAATTGTTCGTTATAAAGTAATACAAACAAAGCATTTTGCCAATGCTGTTTTAATGACTGGGTTTTCTGGGATATTCCCCAATTAATTTAGCCAAATTGAAGCTGAAATTCCAAATTCTTATGGCCCAAGCCCCCAGTCCCAAAGTACTAACAAAAACCCCCACTGTAATCAAATTGATTAAAACAAATGCATGTTTTTTTTTAAACTTTGGACTAGTAATTTTATGACACGGACTAGTTAAATTTACTAGCTCAATAGTCCTTGGACTAGTGAATTTTTAGGGAAAATTTAAACCCCTGCAGTTATATCACCGATTCAGCGCCGGACTGATACTTGAATTTGATTATTTGCCCCCCCCCCCCCCACTCCCAACAGTTTGAGGAAATATAGTGACGCGCTTGTGCGAGCGTGTCTTTGTGCGCATAATTTGCGTTCATACATGTATGCATTTTCATTTTCATTGGACTCGTACAGGGTTCCACTTTGAAATATTTATAGACATGTCCAATTTGGGGGACGTAACGTAATACTTACTCTACTTACAGAACAAGAGCATTAATGAGCTCCAATTAAACATAGACAGAACAGTGAATTAAAGCTTTACATTTTTAAATGCCAAGTAAGACTTCAATTTGTACAACTCAAATGTAAAGCGGTGGCTTTTCGGGAATGCACATAGTGACCTAACGGAAATTAATCTGACCTTTTGTTTGTTTGTTTCTTTATTGTTTAAAATTCTACATATATATACATGTAGTCCAAATGTTTGACCAAGTTCCACACTGAGAAAAGAAAAGAAAATCAATATTAAATTAAATGCCATTGTATTTCGAGAAAAAAAAATTTCTATTTCGATTTTTTCAGATGTCTTTATTTTTACCCTTTTCAAATAGTCTGAGAAGCTCACCATTGCTTTTTGCTAGTATAAAATAAAGATAATCTTAAAATCTGTTCAAACAAATATTGATCGTGATCTGTGAACTTAGATTTATATACTGAGTATTGTTATTATGAACTCAGCACGGGCATACGTTACATTAAAGTTTTAGAATTCAGAGAATTTAAAACCAACTATAACAATCTAGATTGTTATAGTAAATTTTAAAACCTCCGAATTCTAAAACTTAATGTAACATATATAAAGCAAAAAAGAAAACTTTTTTTTCATATGCTGACATGTATATAGCCTTTATCAATATTTCAAAACTGGTACTTCGTTTTATTTTCTCCTTCAAGTATATTTTCTTGCTTTTTTTCTTCTTCCATGATTATTTATTTAAAATTATACTTGTGTATTTACCTTGACCTTATAAGGAGAGGACCCAGGCTTTGTGAGAAAAAAATATAGAGTACGAGTTATGTGTATAATCGTCTATTGAAGTCAATATTGACATTAGGTAATATGAATAATAATTATATGACCCACTTTTACGGATATTTCAGAAGCATCTGAACGGTCAATACAAACATGACCAGTTTTAGGGAGACAACAAATTGTAACCATCATGCATAACTTCATTGTTTATATATGATTTCTTGAGCAGTCAACTATCATTTGGCAAAGAAAAATTTCGTACATTTAAGTTTTAAAATTTGATCATTTTTTTTTTATATCTTCACATGGAGCTCTTCATCTAAAAGAAGATCAATAGAGTCTTTAAAAAAATGGTCCCAGCCCTCTTAAAAAGTTAGTTACGACGAACTATGGGTGTACAAGGGTCACCTAATACAAATAATTCCTGATCAATAATCTGTGTGTAAACATAACCTTGTTTCTCAGCTCAGGCAACAGAGACGGACGACACCACATGATAAGGTCGAGAAGGGGAGACACCTGAAGACCCATCTATCTCATCTTTTCTTTTGTTTAAATTTAAGGTTGAAGCAAATTTAAAAGGTGGGGGTGTGAATGTTGACTCGTCTGAACAAGTTTGTGATCTACCAATATTTCGCAATGATACAAAGATCTGAAGGACAGAGAAAAAATGCTCAAGGGTAGCTTTTGAATGAGCTGTGTTATCAGGTTATTCGCTGTTTTACACTTCCATCTTTTTCATGATACATGTATAAAAATTGAACATAAAATAGATATCGGCTATGTTACATATCAGAAAAGTTTCAATACGAATAATAAATAGGAAGTGAACACCACTACCTCTAAATTAATTTATTTTTATTTATTTATGAATTACTTAACCCAATAGTGAGTTCATGGTATAAAGTTGTACTATTTGTGCTAAGTCTGATATATCGTTAACAGATTCAGAACAAAATTATAATATTCTAAGCTTACATTTTAGTTACTAACCCCATTCCAAATTTTAAGCACATTGGGCCATTTATACACATTGTGTTAAGATTTATTAATAGCTGCATGGACTTCATTGTGAAATCTCTATATATTGATCCCAATCAGAGCATTAGATAACTATTTATTTATTTTAAGGCTATATACCAGCATTCATCATTTATTATTGTTATTTTTTTGCTAGGAGGAGGGTTGAGAAGGGGGGGGGATCATGTACGATGAAAAAAGTAAACAGTACTTACAATCATATCATAGATCCCAAATCAATATCGAAAACAAATCCACTAATAAGAAGTATTATCACTTTGTATTGTATATGTCACGACTTAAGGTACTCCGGTTAAAAGTCCATAGTGTCATGGCGTGACGGCTCTGTTTGGAAGTGCTGTGGATATCTAGCCATTTTTTTAGATCAATATTTTCGAGCACCATAATCCGAAGACAAACATCCATTCGCTACGAATTTTAAAACCAGTACGCTTGGACAGCTATAAAAGCCTACAATGGCGTACGTCTGTGCAGTCAGGTGTTGAGAATACACTGGCCCTATCTATTGTTTATTGTGTGGTCCCATTACGGGTCGACTTAGGCTAAAAACTGTACATTCCTCGATCGTCATTCAGTAAGATCCGGCGTTTAAAAAGTAAGCCTTTGATCCAGTTCTATTTTGCCCAATAGTCAATATTATACTGTAGTGTGTGTCATTTCATTGCCAGGAATCGATTATATTTGACTGCAGGAGTGAACACATTATAGTTGACACCCACTGAACTTATAATCAAAAAATTAATTAAAAAAAAAACTGGGTATCAGATTTGAGGAAGGATGGCCTGATTTTTATCTTTGTTTATGTAGCCATAGACCTAAAGCGAACCGCTTTATGTCTATGATGTAACAGAATGCTATATATCAAGGGTGTCTTCTTTGGTATTTTGTCTGTATTTTGTCTGATTTAAGGCCGGTATACACGAAGAGATTTGTAGTACAAGTATTATAATTCTTTTGTATCATAATACTTTCTTGTACACACGCTAATACATATTTTATAAGATTGTAAATAAACTATTATTCCCACGTGTTTTCTCCTGTCATATTTCTCTCTCTGTCAAAATAATTAAAATGATAATAATGAGCTCTGCTTCTAGCATCCTTTTTGTGGTAGCTACAGCTTGATATATTCCACAACTCCTCTTCCCCTTCCCATAAAATCACGAGTTTTTCGATATCTTTACTCGAAAAGTCGGCCATTATTATTTACCATGTGCTTTATTTAGTAATGATATAAATAGGATGACCCCCAATGTGAGTACATTTGATTGGTTGAAAGTGAAAGGTGAGTTAAGACTTGTATTAGGAAATAGAGCATTGCTCTATTCTTAATACAGTTTTATAAGGTTCGAAAAATCTTATGATACACTGTATTAAGAGTGTATACACAGTAAGATTTTGTATTATAATACAAATCTTATAATACAAATCTTACCGTGTATACCGGCCTTTAGACAACTAGTTTGACTGTTTTGAAAATATCAGTCAGTCACTTGGACCTAGTAAGGAATTGAGTTTAAAATTGGTTTATAGACTTTAATTTTAATTTGTCACTCTTATTTTTATTTCACTACTGATATCGATTCTAAAATTAATTTTTTGGTATTTGAATTCACAGTGGTTATATTCATTATGTGGTCTTGAACTTGTCCATTATGTCTAGATATTTTTATGTAAAAAAAAAGTCTCAAGCATGAAAGTATTTTTAAAACACTGCAGTAAGTCTTTTGAACAACAAAAGTTTAAGGTTCGTAGCGTTTATGATGTGTGTTCAAAACCTTACTGAAAACATAAACAAAAAAGTAGTTATCAACATTCAGCAAAAGGGGGCACAATAAAAAAAATGGCCGTCAGCAAAAAAAAAAAAAAAAAAAAAAACTTCCGCAGACACTTTAGGGTTTATATTATGTTGTAAGTGTTGAATTTATTAGGGTGAGGTAAATGCAAAATTTACAAGGTGATAAATTAAGGATATAGATTAGAATCCTCCTCTCCTAAATTTCTGGCAATTTCTAAATATAAATTATTAATTAAATACCAGACTGTGTGTAAAAAAAGGAGGGAGTGGGTGGGTTATGAGACTAAATACACAAGGATGTTTTCAAATTGGAATTAGCCCTCCCCCCCTTCAAATGAAGTTATTTTACATGTACAGTATTATATTAAATTAATAGGCCTAATTATCAATAAAGCAGTCTGAAACTGAAAGCAAAAGCATCACAGGTAGTGAATAAGCTCTGAATTTGTAGGCTAAGTAATACATATTGTGCCTCATCCTCGTGACCCAGGGGGTCCTAAGTCAACACGTTGTCGCTGGACAGCTGGACTCAGGGGTATCCCCGGTGTTGAGAGAATGACTGTGCCATGCCTGTGATTTTGTCCAGCATCTCGACTACGAATACGAGTCTTGTCTAATAATTTCACGCAGACTCTTAAAAATTATCAATCTCACCTGTGACCGTCAGGGTTTACTTGAAAAAATCTTTGAGGGACCTTGTTAACTTTTAAATAATTTGCTTCTGTTTTCTGCGAGTCTCGACAGGATGCCACCTAACCATCACTCGTGATGCAGACAACATCTTTTAAGGGCCGCTACTCTAAATTCAAAAAGAAAATATGGAGAGTGGTTTACGTAATAAATTATAAATATTGTTAATAAAAAAATAATAAATCCGTGTTTGCTCTTCTCTGAAATTGTATTACATTGTGTATTTCCCCTTACGAATAAATATTTCAGAGAATCATGATGAATGTGAGGCAAAAGGCGTAAAAGACGTTGATGCAAAACTAACAATAATTATTTATTTTGCGAGACAATTAGTGAAAAACAAAACTTAAATTAAATAAATAGAGGCCGGTGCAAAAACAAACAGTCATCAAGGAATTGTTACGAGAGTCTGTAAATTATGAAAAGTCAAAAGGTTCAACACAGAAAAAGCTTCAAATATCAGAGATTGCAAAGCAACTGCTATATCACATCGTGGATATATCTGTTTCATTTTATTTTCCAGAAAAAGACGTTAGCCTAAATATTTCTATTGTCAACCTCCCTTATCTATGTGGCATGCAATACCATTACAATTGTATCACCTGCACAAAGAAAGTTTATGTCTCCAGTTTAATACGGCACACGAGAATATACATGTCCTAATAGGAACAGTTTCTAAAGTGAAGCAAGCAATTGACAAACAAGTTGATGAAACAAGGATATCAACAGTCTCGTTTAAAGTCAACAATTCACAAATTTACATCAATACAATGACTTTATCGGCAAATACAATCTACCAGAAAGTTGAATGTTGACTGACTCCCCCTCCCTCCAATAGTTAAGCAATTATTTTCACACCGAGTTGTCCACATTTTTTTTTCGCTTGCCCGATTATGACAAAGAACCCTAACTCAGCGCCTAGGGCAGTCAAGCGGGATTGAGATCATTTTTTTGCCAACATCTGCGACACGCGGGATCTCGGTTTATATCCGGTCTTCACGGACCGAAGGGGAAATGAAACCGACATAAGGATCAACCGTTCATTCCGCGACCCTAGCGAGAGCAAACACTCTGACCACAGAGCGTTATGAAATGAAATACCAAAGAACGAATTTGAACAGTAAAGCTCAGTCCTTTGAATACAGTTGGTAGCAGAGTAAAAACTCCAATTTTCTTGAAACATTAGAAGAGGGATCAGGTGCCATGGAGGAGTAAACATCCCCTGTGAACCGGTCACACCCGCCGCATGCTTGATCTGTAAAAAATCACAAAAACCTTAATTGCAGAAATGTCTCTTCGAGAATTCTTTACTCCTATTGAGAGACCAGCCCTTTCCAACAGAGCCTAAAAACGGTATGCATATTCTCGGCACTCAAGACCATTGAGCAGTGAGGGATCTCTCCCGTGCCAACACCTACTGCGACACGGGACCTTTGGTTTATTCGGTCTCATCGATCCGATTGACCGGTCTCCAAGCCCCCCCCCCTCCCTAGTGGATAAAGGGGAGAGAGGTGGTAATGCGAACTTTAAACTCACGTATGTTTTGACTCGTTCGTATATTTACATTATTTGGTGACATGTTGATACATTTCGTTCGATTTCAAGAAAAATTACCAGGGATGGTCTTTCACTATGAGTAAAAAAAAATTCTCGGAGGGACGTAAAACAAATAAAAAAAAAACAAACATTCACAATGACATGACAATTAAAATCTTGGAAGGTCATTTTCACTACATATCTTACTTAGTAATGAAGGTTTCTGTGATTTTGTATACTGACCAGAACAAGATGACCGATAGGATACTAGACAGGTGATCAAGGTAAGGGGTCACTAACTTCTCAAGGTCACCGCTCACTAAGTGCTCCTCCTCACACAAATGCAGGATCTGACTAGAAGGGGGATTTTACACCTTGGTGTAAAAAAAATTAAACTGTTAGGTTGAAAAAAAAAAACACGGGATGGGAGAGATTGTTTACATAAACCCTTGATGCATTTCCCAAATATTATATTACAAGCCCCAACCTTAAAGTTCACAAATCACAAGATTTTTTCCCTATCAATTGCGGTATCACACACTGCACACCTCAAATGCCCCTTGTTGCTATGAAGTGTAGCCTATGATTCCAGACCGAGAATACTCGTGACATCCAGAATATTGACAAATTGTCGATTAATACATGTTGTTCTAAATTAAACGATTCTGGCTTTAAAATACTACCAGACTTGCTTCAGATGCTGAATCTGACCTACATTTTCCAGATGAGTGAACAGGTTAATGTTTTTGGTGCAGGTCTCATTTCCAAGTAACTATAAGCTCTATGTTGACCAAACTTGCATGGATGGTACATCTAAGGATGCACATTACCAGGCTTGCTTCGGATGCTGAATCTGACCTACATTTTCCGGTTGAGTGAACAGGTTAAAGTTTTTGGTGATGGGTTCATTTCCAAGATATAATGAGCCCTATAATGACCAAACTTGCACGGATGGTACATCTTAGGATGGATACTACCAGACTTGCTTCGGATGCTGAATCTGACCTACATTTTCTGGAATGAGTGAACAGGTTAAAATTTTTGATGCAGGATTCATTTCCAAGTAACTATGAGCTCTTTAATGACCAAACTTGCATGGATGATAGATGCTGAATCTGACCTACATTTTTTTTTCTGGATGAGTGAAGAGGTTAAATTTTTATGCAGGTTTCATTTCTAAGTAACTATTAGCCCTATGTTGTGCAAACTCGCATGGATGTTACATCTTAGGATGCATACTAATGGAATTGCTCCGGATGCTGAATTCGACATACATTTTCCAGATAATGGACCAGGTAAAAGTTATGGGTGCAGGTCTATCACCAAGAAACTATAAGGCTTAAATAAACCAAACTTGCCCAAATGATGCATCAAGGGATGAAAACTCTTAAACTTGCTTCAGATGCTGGATTTTGATCACATTTTCGTGATGAAGAACTAGTTTGAAGTTTTTATATAGGTCTGTTCCAAAGTAT